CCATTTTCCACTATATATTTCTTAGGAAAATGTGAGACTGAGATCAAAAGTGAGCATGTCTAAGTTTTATGGTCACCAGGCCTAGGTTGAATATTTTCCAATCAGAATATTATTTCAGTATCAAAATACATGTATGATTAATCAAGAAGTCTGTGAGACAATTCTCACTAGTAATACCCCCACTCTGATGTGAATATACACTGTCATGTTAATCTACACAATTCAGTTATGGGCAGATGCAGATATAGGAAGATGACATCAGATTTACATAAAAACAAGATGTGTTTTTGAAACACTGATGCCTGCGTATGGCAACATAGCGAAGGTTAAGCTTTCTCAAATGCAGATCAAATATGTGGGTACCTAAAGTAAGGCCTTTTCACAAGAAAAACAAATGTGAAATATATAACCCTAGCACCACCTGTTCAAGGGTTATGACCAAGGTTAACATTTTTAAAGGTAGGACAAACTCCAGGGTCAAGGTCAAAAGGTCAATGTCATTGGTTTCAAAAGAGATGTCTTGTCACAACAGGATTACATATGTGAAATATGAAAGCTCTAGCCCCTACTGTTCAAAAGTTATGGCCAAGGTTAAAGTTTGTAAAAAGTAGGTCAAACTCCAAGGTCAAGGTCAAAGGGTCAAAGTTGTTGATATCCAATGAAAGGTCTTCTCACAAAGATTATATATTTGAAGTATGAAAGCCCTAGCCATTACTGTTCAAAACTTATGACCAAGTTTAAAGTTTTTTTTCATAAGTATGGAAATCTCCAAGGTCAAAAGTCAAAATTCCTGGCTTCAAGTGAAAGGTCTTGCTGAAAAGAATTGATATTTGAAATATGAAATTCCTAGTATCTACCATTTAAAAAGTTTCGCCAAAGTAAAAGTTTGGAATTTTTGAGTAAAAGTGGGTCAAACTCCAAGGTCAAAGGGTCAAGGTTCTTGGTATTAAATGAAAGGTCTTGTCACAAGGATTAAATATGTAAAGTATGAAAGTCCTAGTCTTAACCTTCAAAAATTATGGTTAAGGTTGTATTTCTAAAGTAGGTCAAACTCCAAGGTCAAGGTTCTTGGTATCCAATGAAGCGCCTCTTCATAAGGATTACATATGTGAAGAATGAAAGCGCACGCACTTTTTTTACAAGGTTAATGTTTTTTTCATAATTAAAGAAATCTCCAAGGTCAAGGTCAAAAGGTCAAAGTTGTTGGCATCCAATGTAAGGTCTTGCCACAAAGACTACATATGTCAAGTATAAATGTCCTGGTATCTACTTTCCAAAAGATATGGCCAAAGTAAAAGTTTGAAATTTTTGTGTAAATGTGGGTCAAACTCCAAGATCAAGGTCAAAAGGTCAAATTTGGTGGTACCCAAAGAAAGTTCTTGTCACAAGGAATACACATGTGAACCACTGAATCAAAAGTTATGGGCAAGGTTAAAGTTTTTGTGGACAAACAGACAAACAGACAGAGAGACAGATAGACAGATGCACACGACATAAACTATATACCCCTGAAACTTCGTTTACGGGGGCATAATAAATCCAATCATATGGCATGCCTCAATTAATAAAGTATGTGCTAAAATTTCAAGCATCTGTATAAATGAGTAGTTGCTGAGAAAACTGCGACGAAAATTTGTTATGTATGAAATGGACAGATGCACAGATAAACAGGAATTTGACATCAGATTTGAGCAACAAGAGGCCCATGGGCCAAATCGCTCACCTGAGCACATGGGCTAGTTAAAAAACACAAATTAGCTTAGTATTAAGAAGCTGACTTGTTGGGGGAGGGGGATTTGAATTTTCTAATACTTGAGAATGTCACTATATAAACAAAGCATACATGTATAATTTTGCCATACTTGAAAAGAAGATTTTCAAAGATTTTTCCATTATACATATTACTCGATCTCCCATTGTGACCCCTGGCTAACCCCCCCCCCCCCATTATTTGAATTAATTTAAATGTTCACTACTTGCAGATGCACATATCTCAATTTGACTAAACAAAATATTATTTTCTGGAGAAGATTTTTTCCTGTATATTCTTATGCAAAATTTTGAGTCCTCATTGTCACCACATCCTAATCCTAGGGGTCATGATTTGAACAAACTTGAATCTACACTACCTGAGGATGCTTCCACATGAGTTTCATCTTTCCTGGCCCAATGGTTCTGGAGAAGATTTTTAAAGATTTTTCCTACATAATCCTATGTAAAACTTTGAGCAACCATTGTGGCCCCACCCTACCCCCTGGGATCATAATTTGAAAAAACTTGAATCTACACTACCTGAGGATGCATCCACATGAGTTTCATCTTTCCTGGCTCAATGTTTCTGGAGAAAGAGATTTTTAAAGACTTTTCCTATATATTCCTATGTAAAACTTTGATCAGCCATTATGTCCATGCCCTACCCCCAGGGGTCATAATTTGAACAAACTTGAATCTACACTACCTGAGGATGCTTCTACATGAGTTTCATCATTCCTGGCCCAGTGGTCCTGGAGAAGAAGATTTTTTAAGATTTTTCCTATATATTCCTATGTAAAACTTTCATCAGCAATTGTGACCCTGCCCTACCCCCAGGGGTCATGATTTGAACAAACTTGAATCTACACTAACTGAGATTGCTTCCATATGAGTTTCATCTCTTTTAGCCCAATGATTCTAGAGAAGAAGATTTTTAAAGATTTTTCCTATATATTCCTATGTAAAACTATGATCGGCCATTGTGGCCCTGCCCTATCCCCGGGGGTCATGATTTGAAAAAATTTGAATCTATACTACCTGACAATGCTTCCACATGAGTTTCGTCTTTCCTGGCCCAATGGTTCTGGAGAAGAAGATTTTTAAAGCAATAAGAGCTGTATCTTTGAGAATTTTATTTTTATGGTAATACTGTAAAAGCACAAATATTCGTGGGGGATTAAATTTCATTTATTTCATTGTTAACAATTATCAATGAAATTAAATCCCACATGGAACTTTATATGACTATATATTGAATAGGCTTACTCTCAAAACAACGAAATTAAATGCCCATGAAACTATTTTTGTTGACAAATCAAAGCAAATTTTATCCCCACGAAAATTTGTGCTTCTACAGTTGTGCTATTATGATTTTCTGTACAACCGTACATACAGTTTTATATAAGAAATCATTATTGTACTAGACGACAATAATTCAATTTTGCTTCAATCAAAGCTAATAAAGAAATTTCCATCGCAAATATGAGCAACAGAAGTTTATAAATAATTTATCTTTCTGTCATTAAGTTAGTTAATTACAAATTTTCAGTAAAATTTTCCGATGTCAAACATGCAGCTCATATTGCTTTAAAGATTTTCCCTATATATTCCTATGTAAAAATTTGATCAGCCCGCCCTACCCCCAGGAGACTTGATTTGAACAAACTTGAATCTACACTACCTGAGGATGCTTCCACATGAGTTTCATCTTTTCTGGTCCAGTGGTTCTTGAGAAGAGAATTTTAAAGATTTTTCCTATATATTCTATGTAAAACTTTGATCGGCCATTGTGGCCCCACCCTACCCGGTCATGATTTGAATAAACTTGAATCTACACTAACTGAGGATGCATCCACATGAGTTTTATCTTTCCTTGCCCAGTGGTTCTTGTGAAGAAGATTTTTAAAGATTTTCCTCTATATTCCTATGTAAAACTTTGATCAGCCATTGTGGCCCAACCCTACCCCTGGGGGTCATGCTTTGAACAAACTTGAATCTTCACTACCTGAGGATGATTCCACATGATGAGTTTTATCTTTCCTGGCCCAGTGGTTCTTGAGAAGAAGATTTTTAAAGATCTTTCCTATATATTCCAATGTAAAACTTTTAGGGATGGGTACCCCAAAAATTTCGTATTGCGATATATCACGATTTTTTCCCCACAATATCATGATAATATCATGATATTTTTAAAAGCAGTTTTTACAATGATTTTATATCAAAAGTCATTATTTTTCTTAAATATGCTAGAAAACAAAATTTTACTTTCTTGAAATTTTTATGTATATAAAATCAATTATGTTTGGACAGTAAGTTGCTGTTCTTTTCCCTTTTTACAACATTTTTTATACTTCCTGTAATTGTAATTTGAAAGATTGAGCGAAAAAATGAATAATTTCTGGACTTTATAATATGTACCTAAAGACCGGTATTTAGGAAACCGTATCACAATACGTATCACACAACAAAAAATTGTGATATACCGGTATACCGATAAAATAGCACATCCCTAAAAACTTTGATAGCCATTGTGGCCCCACCCTACCCCTGGGGGTCATGATTTGATTAAACTTGAATCTACACTACCTGAGGATGATTCCACATGAGTTTCATCATTCCTGGCCCAGTGGTTCTTCAGAAGAAGATATTTTTTGAAAATGCCATTAATTTTTCACTAATTCATAATTATCTCCCCTTGGAAGAGGGTGTGGCCCTTCATTTAAAGAAACTTGAATCCCCTTTACCTTAGGATACTTTGTGGCAAGTTTGGTTGAAATTGGCCCAGTGGTTCTTGAGGAGAAGATAACAATGTGAAAAGTTTACGATGATGACAACGACAGACAAAGGACAAATTTTGATCAGAAAAGCTCACTTGGGCCTTTGGCTCAGGTGAGCTAATAAATATAAGAAATAAGAATGACATGAAGTGGGTATGTGATCAAATATACTATAACACCCTTCGGGCATTACAGAATTCGATCATGTGACCGACTTCATGTCATACCCCAATGAAACTCTGAAAATGATATCTTATTTTTCTTAATTGAAATTATAAAGGATGATCATGATAATAAACTAGAAAATCATGTACTTTATTAAATTTTTGTGTCTTAAAAAATCTCAGAAGCTTGGATGGAAGGGGTACACCATCCATTCGTCAGGTTTTCATGTTTGTGACATTTTCTACTGTCTGGTACATGTAGATTCGTCGCTTCCAATCTATTAGATACATGTATCCTTGTACTTACGTATTTGACATCGATGGTATGATTAGATGTCGGACAACAACATAATCTGCATAAAATATCGCAACATATGTGATCACCAAACATACAATTCCACAAAAATCTCTTCTTAACACAGCCATTTCAGAAAGAAAGCAATATTCCCCTATAGTTTCACTAAATCAGTAAATGTTTTTTTTAACATTTATAAATCAAATCGGAAGTCATCAGCAGTGTAATAAATACAGTTACCAGAGAAGGAAGCATTCCGGGATCTCAAGTTGTAGTGAGTTTTGCTAAGGCTATTTAAAATTAATTCTATGTTTAACGTCATTCGCGCGTGTAGGCCGTAGGTTTTGGAGAACAGTCGTCTTTGAAAAAAAACCAAACAATTCGGAATTCCGTATGTCCGTTCCGGTTTGGTTCTACATTTAGCTACTGAATTCTGCATCCCGTAGCGGAAACATACTAAAGACTAGTCCCCTTGGCTGTCTCCGTAAATCTCCGACCACCCAGTAGTCTCGTTTTCCCCAGACTCTCACTCTCGAGACTTTGCCCGAGCGAGAGTCTGGTCTGATTCCTATTTAATTTTTGTAACCAGTAGAGGTCGCTAAACCGGCTAACAAGATGGCGACTCCCATGAAAATACATGTGAGAATTTACTTTTTAAACAAAGATATGTGCGTTTTTTGTTCCTTGTAAAGCAGACAAAGGTATTTTATTGTAAAACCAGTTAAAAGTAAAGGCGCAGCCTCTGACTTTTTAAAGAATACATATCATAGCATCGAAGAGAATGTATCAGCCAATGAAAATCCATACCGATTTCTCGGTAAGCCTCGATTTGAAATTCCAAAAATTAAATAGGAATCAGACCAGACTCTCGCTCGGGCAAAGTCTCGAGAGTGAGTCTGGGGAAAACGAGACTATAGAGCGAGAGTCTGGGGAAAACGAGACTAACCACCCAGAGGTGGTCGGAGATTTACGGAGACAGCCGAGGGTCTGGTTGAACGAGACTAACTAAAGACCTGATATGGATCCGGGCCACAATTAAAGGGTGAAGGTCAAAGGGCTAAAATGTAGCAGATGTAGGAAATTCGTATGCCTCCCTTTCAATGATAAAAATAAAAATAGCTCACATGTTTTAGATACTTTTTGGGTATAGAATAAAAGTATAGGTGTCTAAAGTTTACAATGATATGCAGCAAGGTGCATTTCAAGCATTTCAAGCAAAAATTATGCCTAGAAATATGAATTGAAAAGAGCATTCATTTGGTTTGTTTACACTTTTTTTGCCGAGCGAGAGCTATCCTGAGGTCATGACCTCAGAAGTTTATTAATAACCAGGGAATTCCACATTCAACACCCCTATTTCTGGATGTGAATATTCATCTGACACATTGCTCTATCATGTGGTCAAAGATATTTTGAAAGTAAAGATTTTTTAAAAAGTTACAAAGACAGTAAAACACATGTTTTTACTATATAAGTCTATATGTAAGCTAATTGTGGTCCGGGTCCATATACTAAAGTACTCTAGTACATGTACTTTGCAAAGATAAGAAATATAAAAAAAGACAAACATTTGTTGTACCTGAATGAATAAAAAGGTTAGAACTTACCAGTGAGTAATATGACAGTAAATTTAGTTTTGAGTAAATCAGCTGTTTGCAAGATATTTCTCTAGAAAATGATTATTTGCTCTCTGAATGGAATGAGCTATTAAGTTCTAAATTGGCAAAAGAGGTAACTGCATATCACTGTTTTGATGTTTACATAGTTTAATAAACCAGAGAAATTAAATTTAAAAGGGCTACAGTTAACCTTCTGTAAAAGCAAACACACCTCCCATGTAATTGATCAACTGATTAACAAAATGTAATACAACTAAAAAAATTTTATGCCCCAGTAATCAAAGAATTGGGGGCATATAGTTTTTTCCCTGTCTGTCCGACTGTCTGTCTGTTTGTCTGCAGAAAGTTTAACCTTGTCTATAACTTTTGAGTGGGTGCCGGGTGGGGCTATGGCTTTTATATTTCACATATATATTACTTGTGACAAGAACTTCCATTTGATACCAACAAATTCGACCTTGAGCCTGGAGTCTAAGTTTCATTTGAGAAAATCCGACCTTTGCCGTAAGCTGCCACACAGGGGCATCAGTGTTTCATAAACACATCTTGTTTTCACTGTAAAATTATAATATCCCATTAGAGAATAAGATCAATTTTGATCTGGCACACAAGTATTCACTTAAGAATGAGTCCGCGAGAAAACCATGCAGAACTGTCCAAATCGAAGGTTGTCATATCTTAATGAAATTTGGTGGGTAGTTAGACTTTATAATATGTTATTTAAAAATGACCAAAAAAATTCCCATCATTCAACATGGCAGCCGTAGGCAGCGCCACCTCCTTTTTGCACATTTAAGTGCAAATGCACTTAAAAAATTCAAGAAAATTGGTAAAATTCACATTTGATTTATTTTACTCAAAATTAAATTTGCATTTCCATTAAGGTATTTTTAAGTAACATAAGACTATGTTCTTTCAAAATTGACATTTATCATAATCAAATATGCAATATATCAAAGGGCAGACAACTCTTGAAAATTGGCATGATGCCAATTTTCAAGAATTGCCAAAAGTATTACAAATTTAATGCCCCAAATCTTCCAAGACCAATCTTTGAAATTCATTTTTTTTTATTTTATTGTACAAATATAACTCTTAACATTATCTTTGCAAAATATTGAGCTTGGGAAATAATAAATAATTGAGATATGGGGATTTACAAATTGCCAATTTTCGAAAAAATTGCTCAAATTCAAATGGGTTACAAAGTCAAATATAGTACTTTAAATTATAAGCAATTGTTGTTAGATATTGAAACATGTAACAATTTTCTTTGAAATAATAATTAAGATTGAAAAATATTAAAATTAAAAATTAGATAAAACTAAATTGTCAGAAATTACCCCTTATATGAGGATTAGTATTTTGCCAATTGTTTAGAAATGAAAAAAGGCAAAGCATAATAAATTGCATTGGGTAACTTGCAATTTTTTTTTTCAACAATCATATGAATATATATGTTCCTAACGTTTTGTAAGTTACTTTCTTTTTAATCAATTAAAGTGAAATTACAAGTATTTAAATTCAAACGGACTCTATTTCAGTATCATTCATATAAATTTTGAGACTTGAACATATAAAATATGAGCCTTCCTTAAGTTGTTTGCTTTCTGCCAAATTATAAAAATACTGACAGGAGATGTTATACAAAAAACTCCATAAAGGAGTTTAAGAAAATGAAAGATGTTGGAGTTTACTTTTATCCCACCTCCCGAATCAAACAATTATCTTTTTTTCACTTGGTAAATTCTTTTCAGGTAAGTTTAATTTTACCCCCCCCCCCCAACCCTTTCAAAATCGTTTCTCCGTCACTGCTATGACTGCAATTTTCGTGCATACATGTAAGAGATTTTATGATTATGTATTAATCAACTTGAATTAAATAATGGGGGATTGAATTTATAAAATATATATTGTTTATAAATTTGTGTATTTAAGATGATTTAATCTATAAAAAAATGTTTTTCTTTCCGTTTTCCGATCTTCGTTTTAGCAACACCCCTCCAGAACCCTTATCATTTTTCATTATTTTATCCATTTCAATATTAGTATGTAAATTGTGGGGATGTGGATGTGGTTAAAGATTGGGTACTAGATACACTCAACAGAAGTTGATACCCCCCAATTTGAATGAACAATCATTTAGGGTATTCTGAATCACGTTTTACATTTTGACTGCAGATTATTTTATTAAAAACTTTTCACATGGTTGTTTGGTATAAAAAAAAACAATTTAGTGAAAAATCAGATCTACTTTATAGAACGAGTCTATCTTCGATACAGCGACCTTGACGGTGGTTATATTTGGCTCACCTTTTTAGAGTATTGCGAATCACTTCCGGGTATTTCGAATCACCAGGTAAATGGGTGATGAAAACGGTCAGAAAACATCATCATAATTGATGAACTAGTTAGTATAGTTTATAAAATGCTCCAAGAATAAAAAGAATTAAAATTTTCTTCATTGTTCTTGTTTATTTAAAAGTTACCAATACCCCCCTCTTTATTCGCACTATAAAACATCTTTTCAGAAGCGGATCATGCAGAAAAGCAATTATTACCAAGAAAATAGGGGTTTAAGAAATTACATGACTGTAAATTGTTATCCTGTAAATATAATTATGTCACTTTTTTGCCCCTGTGATTTTTTTTCGCTGCAAAACAATTAACATTGAAAATATCATAATTCTACGAATCGGCTACCAAAAAAAAAAAGATCATATACATGTAATAATGATGATAATAAAAGAAATGTGTGAAAAGGAATAATAACTAGCTCCTGTTTAGATATATGTATCACAATTATTAAATATGACATAAATCACTGCATGCGTGCACAGTGTACATATATGTGTACATGTATATGCGTGCAAGTCCATATTTACACATGTATGATAAAAGGATCAACACTGGTCAAGCTACTCATTAACTCTTCACAGCTTTTCCATTTCATAATTTTCATAGGTCACTTGCATGTAAAGAAAACCGATTTTATAAAAAAAAATATCGGGCATATAACAAGTATGCAGGTGTGCAATTTCTTCAGTTGCGGTCATGCACATGATACATGTACGTGATTCGAAATACCCTAAACTGTAGGGGGCTACAAATGCGGTTGTAACATGTACATTTTTGAGATGTAATAAAGAATTATTAATGCTCATGAAAGCTCATAAAATCGCCGTTCTATCAATCCCTATTATGCTATATTTCATCCACCAACAACGCCACAACATCGATGAGAAATATTCTGCAACGTTTAAACACGGAAATTTTTCACGAGAAGGATAGCAAATTAACGAATTAATTAAGGTAAATTACCGAGTGTCGCGAAATGCGGGGTGATTCGAAATACCCTAAATGACTGAATATGAATTGTCTTTTATCATGTTTGTACTGCAAACTAGCAAAGTTTTGGCTGCAGTAACGACTCATGTTTTCTTGGGGGGGGGGGGGGGGGATAGTACCCTCCCCCGAATAAGTTTGCCAATATTTATTGTGGAGGGTCCTATATCGATGAGGTACCTAAATCGGTGGCATCTCCTTTTGAGCTGATGATTTTTAATGGGAGATCTGACTTTATCAATACTATTGTTTGCAGTCGACTGTAAAGTTTTACATTAAGTCACGATCTAGTTGACAGCTGCTCTCAAGGTAAATTGTACACGCCTCCTAACCGCAAGCTTTACGACTGGAACTCTCTTCCTATCCCTGATTGGTTGCTCGTGCAACAGACTACAGTAGTTTATCCTTGTCAATGTTGATAATCTGAGTCGACCAATCACGTGAATTGTTTACGCTGGATGCATCTGACGGAAAAGATCATGAAGTAATGTGAAACTTTACAGTTAGCTGCAAACAATAGTACATGTATACGAATGTTACGTAACACATGTAATGTAAAATTAAAAATATGCCGAGGAATGACGGTGTTTGGTTAAAGCCATATATGGCGTAACTGATCAAAAAAAATATATTTTTGAAAAATACAAAATTAAGTAAAGAAATATAGTCGATAAATTTAAATTAAAGCTTTTCATACAATTCTGAACGCGGAGAACACCTCGTTTTATCTGATAATACGATTTTATCTTCTATGTAATGTGTTATTTAAATCTTTTGTATTTTCTTCCGAGTCGTAGAAAATTCCGAGAATCCAAATTAAATTGTGATATCTTTATAACGCAATTGACTTAGATTTTGTAATTTACGGAAAAGTTCTATCTTTATATCAAGTAATGATACAAATAATAAGTTCTCATAATTTTAGTCTAATAATTTTCATTGTACATACGCCATATATGGCTTTAATTCAAAAACACACTAAATTTATGAAACGTAAACAATTTACATGTAGATTGAAATTACCAATTATTTTTGAATTTGTTGAGAGTATGCAATCAAATACTGGTACCTGTTTGTATTCTTATATTTTCTCAATTGATGACAAAAGTTGTTAAGACACTAAGAAAAATATGTATGTTTATATTGAAAATATATGATTTTAGTTAGTGAGTCCTCCATGATTTTCCCCTCACTTATTTCATTATTACATGTTTCATATGTGTTTTTCTTTTCCTTTTCATATTTTGATTATGTATATCATATACTTGTACCTCTGACCTGAATTTATATGTTGTAAGTATATTCTTCATTGTCCTCATTGACCTGAAATGGTTTGAGTTAATAAAATGATCTCAAACTTGAACGGCTCCAGGTGCCTTAAACAAAATATCAAATGTATATTTTGATTAAAAATATGTTACTGTTTGATTTAATTTCCTATAATTACCATGAAATACATGTAGATTCCCTGAGGACAGAACCCTATAGAAAACATAGCTACTACATGTATAATGCCCAAAATAAAAAAAAAAACATATGATGAACTTTTATTTTTTTTTACTTTCTATGGAATTCTTGGTAGTTGATAATGTAGGTTGTCCCCCCTCCCCCACACTGAAATTGCTTCCTCTGGGCCTGTTATTTGTTTATTCAAGCTAAGTTGTTGTTTCTTTCTTACATTCAAATATTTTAAAATAATTTTTTCCTCTTTCATAGTGCAATTATGCTCCACAACAACTCCCTAGGTGAAGAAAAAATGCTCATAAATGACTTCTCTCCATATTGACATACCTGTCACTTTTTACCCAATAATACAAAAGAGTTCCAACGAGGGGAGATAACAATTTAACTCCAGCAAATTGGTAACAAGGGGCTAAAATAAGCAAAAGAAAGTTATATGAAGTATTCAAATCAGTTATTCCTCTTCTAAAAAATATATTAGATTAAGAATCTTCTTTTTTTCATTTAAATATCATAGAAATAATCCAAAAATATAGTAAAAGTCTGTTATTTAAAATATGTGAAATTGTAGCAAAATATGGTATTTCAAAGTTAATTTACATCATGTAGATATTATTTCCCAAGCTCAATATTTTAATACAGAGTAGAACTTAGATCATTCTTAAAGTAACAATTAATTTAATTTATTTTCTGCCTTGGTCTTGAGAGAAATGAGCATCTAAAAATGGCTAAAAAATCATACTCATTTATTTAGGATCTATAAATAGATGTGCCAAAAATAAAATATTTATTTGAATTAAGTTTTTCCTCATTATTTGTGTTAATTAGACCATGACTTTGAAAATAAAACAAAATTTGAAAGTAAACTGATGACAAATGGTAACTTTTTTGACTTGATCAATTTGTATACATTTTCCATTAAATTTTGTGCGATTTTCGACAAATATGCAAATGAGCTGTTACTAAAAATAGATGCAGGGTTCGACATTTTTTTGTAGATATTCTGACTTCTACCTTTATGTAGAAAATTTTAAGCCACTTAAAATTCCCAAGTTGCAACCTTCCATTTGGACGATTTTTTAAATTTTGCATGGTTTTCTCGCGGACTGGCTCTTAAGAATGTAACGTCATTGTTGATTTCATTTCAAAGTGCATTACTAGTATGTTAATTAATAAGAGTCAAAGTTTACAAAGCTCTAAAGCTGAAATGATTTAAATCTAATTATTTAAGAGATTTTGATAGAATGTCTGTCAGGTTTTTGAGAATTGAGTTTTTTTGTTCCATGTTTTTATATAACAATGTCCTCTCGAAATTTCCTCATTTCCTCCCGCTCCTTATTCCTGTCCTCCTTCTGCTCCTTCAAATAGTCTTCAAACCATCCCGGCATTTGCTTGTTGACTTTCTTTTGTTTCTTTGTGCATGTTTCTGGTTGTGTTGTGTCCTTTCTCTTAGGGGTTGTTAATTGTCCATTATTATCTGCATAGAGTAAACAATAAGTTGCATGTTCTTTACTACATGTGTAATTTAACTAATATCAGTTTTTTGAGTTTCATTGGTATAGGATATGACATGGAGTTAGTCACATGATCAAATTTTATAATGTAAAAACAATTCAACGCTTGACAAAATGATAAAACAAAGTTTTCACATGAACTGCTGGTGGCTGAAGGTTCAGTTGATCTGTCTTTGTGAAGAATTTCATTCATTTTATCAATATAAACCCAGGTCGTCCTGCCTGCTCCAAATTTCCCCATGCTGTCTTTGATGGACCTGTAGCTATAACACAATAACTTTTATGATAAAAAATAAGGAGATAAAGTAACTTTACAGCATTTCAAAAATTTCTTTTAAAACTGGATATAAAACTATATACGTAACAATTATGATAAAATTTGCATAACTGTATTTAATTGCTGCTTTTACATGCTATAATTGAAACCTTAAAATACCGTATAATCCCTATTAACCGCCCCGGGCGCTTAGAAAATTGCGGAAAGGGGGCAGTTATTTTTATATTCTTGTTAAAATTTTGAATGTTATATTTTAACTTCAAGAGATCTTTTGAAAAAAAAAAACAAATAACAGAGAACCACTGAAAACTGTCTAACCTTCCTTTAAATTACAATAATCCACCCAAATTATGCTATATGACTCATTTTCCCACTTTGAAATTAGGGAATCGACAAGGAGAAGATATTTTGTACTTGTATTTTTAACTTTCACTTTCAGAAATACATGATTAGGTCGTTCTAAAAATCTTTTACTTTCAAGAATATTTGATGTATGAGTTACCTAATAACAAAGTTTCATTTTCACTTTCTTCATTATGGCGGACTTTTGATACGATTCTGGATGATTTTGATCACTGTACAGGGGGCCCTTATTTCCTGACAATTGAAAAAGACCCAGGGGGCGCTTATAGGGGTAGGGGCGGTTGATAGGGATTATACGGTATGTTATATTTTCAAATTATCTCTATATGCACAACTTTAGCAAATGTAATTCTTGATTTATTTTAGATATTGACTGAACCAATTTCTGTTCATTTTCATTTAAATGCCAATACATTTAGTAACTTTTTAAAATCAATGTTCCTCCACCAAAAAATCATAAGAAAAGAAAAACAGAAAAAAAGAGAAACCACCACCAGGATTACAAACATTTGGGTAGTGATGGGAATCGAACCCATGTCACTGACTATCCTTACACTACCTACTTGGATTTTTAAGCTATATTAGTATTATATGTAGAATAAAAATGTGGATCTGCATGGGATATTTTCCCATTCAACATAAATTAAATTTAAAAAAAAATCTCTTCCTTCCTGGAAGGACTTTTTTTAAAATATCATCTTAGCATTCAAATGACTCTGAAAAAACTTAGATATAAAGAAATTAATACAATATTTGAATAAATGTGTATCATTTAGGCAGGATCCTCAAAACAGTGAACCTAAATCTATAAAATCCAAAAGAAGCGTTATGTTTATCATAGTGACAACGTTATTAAAACTTCAAACAGGGCCTCCTGATAAAAGATGTCTTCCTTTCATTATATTTATCAGTTAGATAGCATGTGTAACCATCAAAATAGTTATAACATATTTCAAAAATGATATCATGTTTATAGTGATTGTCTTTATACATATACATGTAAAATGAATCATAATGTTTATAATGAATGTCTCAGTATAATGAATATACAGGTACATGTAATTGCATTTAGACTTTCAACAACCTATATTTTAAAAAAAGTTATAATACTGAGTATACCGAATTTTTAAGTTATTCCACTTTTTTTTTCGCATGCAGTGGGTGATTTCTAAAATCCACCAGCACTTACCTTTGATGTTTCATGTAGTAAAGAGATACTTGCCTGTGCTTTCCTTTCCTCTAGAGGGTATCTCATCTATGTTTTAACAAAATCAAGCATATTATATTAAATCTACATCTTTTTTCAGAACTGACTTATACCAAATAATTTTTTTTCCTTCTTACCAGTCATTAAAACACGGTCGTCAACATTCACTATAAACTAGATATACAGCTTTGAGATAATGTAAATGTATTTTAACATCAGGTAATGAACTTTTGGAATCAACATGATAAAGAGTTAACACAATATAAAGATATTTTTTAAATCACATAAGAAAGAGTTGACATAACGTAATTATATATCCACATCATGGAATGGAGTTTTGACATAATGTAATAAAGTGTTGATATAATATAAAGATATGTTCACATTATGTTATACACTTTTTACACTACGTAATAAAGCACTGACATAAAGGTAAGATGTGTTCACCTCACATCATGATGCCCTCGCCGTAAAATAAAGATAAATCCATATCACGTAATAACGCTTTGATATAATAGAAATATACACTCTCAAAAAGGAATGGGCTTTTGACTTCATGTAATGATAAGTTTAATTATAAAACACAATTTACTTGACGCAATGTAATTTTGACCTCACATTTTAAAGAAATGAAATGATGTAAAGAAACATTCATTTCACGTAATAAAGTTTTAACACAATGTAAACACATTATCACTTCACATAATGAATTTTTTACTTCAAGTTATGAAGTGCTGACATAATGAAAGTATGTATTTACTTCATGTAATGCAGCATTGACATGATGTTAAGATATATTTTCATCATCCCATAAAAAATGGACATAACGTAAAGATATGTTCACATCACGTAATGATAAACTGACGTAATAAATACATAGTTGTATGCTATAAGGCAGTGATGGCGTTCCGTAATTTAACAATTCACACGAATAAATATTACCTGGTTTCTCAGTCTCTTTGATGACATCTGCCTCTATAAGAGAGTCCCTTATCTGATCAATGAATTCCTGTCATCTGAAATCAGTTAATATCATGATTACAAATTATTCTTAACAATCAAACATAATGGAAGCAAAGTGAATTAAAAAATATAATATTTGTATACATACTAATGTGTAATATTAAATATAATTTAAAAATTATTGAAATTTATATATCCATATGTATATGTAATTTTATTATACCTCTATCGATATTACTCGAATTTGATTGGCTGGTAAGAAAACTTTGAAATACAACAATGACTCCAAATGGTACTGTTCACAGCAATAATGACCTAGGAGTCATTGCACGTGGGATATAATGACCTGGTCATTATTATTAATGACCACTAAATAATGACCTCTTAATCAAAAATTCCTTTTTGAATTTGAGTGAAGTTAATGCATAAAATAATAATTATTTGAAAAAAACAACATGTTTTTAAATTCGTGCATGGTCTGTTTTGCATTACCATACAGAATACGGTAAAATTTTATAGTTAACTTAAACGGTTTACTCATTTCAAAATATCGTTACAATTCATTTCAATGGAATGTAGAAGCGGCTCTTTAAAGAGTTGAATTCTGTGTTAGATTTTGACTGTGTAGAGGAAAAGTAATCGCTAGTTATAACAATATAAGTTGCTATCAACCAAATATTGTTTTAATCAGTAAATCATGATGCAAAAACTTACACAACTTGCAGACGTCAATGTAAACAACTTCACTATACGGAGTGTGGCGAATCCCGATCCCGATCAAAGAAAGAATTGATAACGGTCAGAGATTCATACTTTTCAATATATATCAGTATAATAAAACAATTGATTACCCCTTGTGAGTTCAACATGGTGAAATAAGGACCCTCGACCTGGCCCACTCGATGACCTGCCCTGACCTCGGCCGCCTCGCTCAGGTCAGGTCACCTCGTGGACCAGGTCTCGGGTCCTTATTTTCACTATGTTGACCTCAAAAGGGGTAATTAATTGTATATTATTAGGAATGCAGCAAAAATCCCATGTACCCATAGAGCATTTCAAGGGCACATACAATAATGGACGACTTGATGGTCTTGGGTCAGTGAATTTTAAATTTGGGCTAGTACATTGTAGAGGACATTTATTCTTTCGGAAAGCATTTTTTCTGAATATGGTCAGGCTATAGTTAACTTGACAAGGTTATGTGTCAAAGTTCTATCTTAAAGTTGTTCTATTAAGTATCATAATATAAACAAAGTGCAGACAGAGAGAACAAGGAAGGACATCCCGATCACTATATACTCTCCAACATTTCAAGGGGGTTATAAATTTCACTTTCATGAAACTACAACTTATTCACTGTGTGACCAGTAAAAAAAAAAGACTATACAATGTTCAACACAAATACATCAATATAGGCTCTGTAAAATATGAGTAATATAAATTTTGAAACCTCCTGTCCTTATCCTCGCCGCATCATACTTATCCACAACAATCTTCTCATCTTGATGTTCCCCATCTGCAAATTGCACTGTAAATTCCTCATAAAATCTGAAATATATGCAAGAAGGTAGCCAGTGCATTGGCTTTCAATTATTATGAATCAGTATCACACATCGAATTCAAACATTTCCTTAGGGCAAACTGACCATGGTTCGGACAGACAAAAAAATTGACTTGAATTGTAGGTTCGGACAACTTTACCGTTATTTTTTTAATTAAATAAATCTGTTTCCAGCATAATACGGAAATATATCAATCTCAGCGATCGGGTTTTTGATTTATGCCTAGGTCACATTTAAGCCGATGTTCGGACGACTAAATTTTTCTGGTCTTGTCGGCTGAAAGAACATAATCTCGGGCGACACTGAGCAGTCACATTAATTCCTATGGACACCGATGACTTGGATAAATAACACAAAAAATCTTTTTTCTTTAGAATTCAGCAATATTTTTTCAAAGATCTATATTCAGATAGGTGACGTGAGTAATGTTTGCAAGGCAAAGTGGCAGAATCTTATAAAATTGTGACTCAATGTTGAAAATGTGTGCAAAATTTTGTATGGAATTGCATAATAACGACAAATGGTGCATATCTAATCAGCAAAGAATACTTAAGATTTGTTTATATCTTACGGATTAATTATTCATGTTATTTCCGTTCAAAAAAATTATATCAATCCACGCATCAAAATTTTGTTTGTGTTATGTATCCTTACTAGGTTAAACATTCACAAGTCGGCCAATCGTCGTCCGATCATCGAGCTCTGAGCTACAGTTTGATTTTAAGCGTCGGCCGAAATTTTAAAAACCCTTTTTGTCCAACGACGGACGACCGACTTAATAAACTGACCACCGATGGTCGGACGATGATCGAAGGTTGGTCGACGGGTAACTTAAATTGAAGGAATCGGCCATCGACGCATAAAAAATTATAACTTGGACCGATAGACACAAAATTGGTCGGCCGACAAAAAAAGAGGTCAAAATCGGGCAAGACAACGGCCGATGAACTGACGACTGTCACCCGAAGAATCCCATTTTTGCTTCAAAACCCGTCGGCCGTAGGTCGTTTTTGGAAATGTAACTGGGGTTTTAGTCAAGACCCCGTGTTTATCACGTGACTCGATACTTGGTGGTGGCGCTACGATTTTAGGGCATGTGTAGTTTGTTTTACGTCAGCAGTTTAAGGGAAAAGTAAATAAACGCTTGCAAGTAAAATCAAATGAATGAGACCCTACTTGAATTATTTCTATTGCGTTTCTAACTGATTACTCCTTCCTATTAGTCAAAAAACGTTTAAGTTATGTTCTATATTTGTTGTGAAATCTTCCTCGAAGTCTGAAAATTAAATGTACCTAGGTTCATACACCAGATGACCATGATTCGTACATTGCTCAAACGAAAGTTCAAGCTACTTAAATCGCCTTTTTAAAAGAAATCGGAGAGTGAATAAATTACGTGATTGATATTCAAAGCATACGGATAATAATATTGTTTATATTGTTTTTGTTTTTTTAAAAATCATACTTCATGTAAATTATATGTAATGAAATATATATATATATATATATATATATATATATATATATA